AGTAAACGAAAAGATGACACACACACACACACTATTGTGGGGAAAATCTAAAACACACACACACACACACACACACACACACACACACACACACACACACACACACACACACACACACATCCCCGTCTCCACAACAGCCTCCAAGACAGCGCCTCATTTGTCGTTGAATGGCATGATCACCGCGCCCCCTGCAGGGCTTAGAGATCTGCTCCGACGACATGCTCGCAACTTTACAGAACGACATCGTCGCTTTCAGTATACACTAGCGAGGAATAGTGCACATAGAGTCCGATGCCCGCAATGTGGCGATGATTTCTTCAGTGCTGCAGTGTTACATGCTGCGCCTGCAACAGGCTGCACGGGCCATTTTCAGGCCCGTGTCGTTTTCAGCCCGAAAGCCTGAAAACAAGGGCCTACAGGCCCTGTGTCGTTTCAGCGTGAAAGCCTGAAAACGAGGGCCTACAGGCCCTGTGTCGTTTCAGCCTAAATCAGGGTTTTTCCTTGAGTCTTTTCAGCCTGAAACTGAGGGCCATTTTCAGGCCCTCATAAGATCGACCTGCCCTGAAACTCGGGCACCAAACCAGGGTTTTAGCACAGGCCATTTTGAGCCTGTTTTCAAGACGACCCTTGGTTGAGCTTCAACGCCAGGGTCTGGCACGTTTTGGCATTGGCAAGAGCAGCCTCCTGGACGGGCCAGCACTATATAGGACTGGCCCGCCCTGCAGGCTGCAGGTAGTTCCTAGGTACTTCCCAGGCACTTCACGTGCAGTTCAGGAGGCAGTCTTCAGGGTTCGGCAGCAGCACCCTGGAGGAGCGCTGCAGGAGTAGCAGTAGTCTTCAGGGCTGGGCGCTAGTAGCGTTAGTAGTAGTCTTCAGCACTGGGCGCTAGTAGGAGCTAGAGTAGTATTGGAAAGAGAGAGAGATTGGGCGGAGGCCAGGGAGACTTACCTGCAGCGCCATATCTCCAGCTTCGTCTTCGAGGTACCTGCAGCACAGCGCCAACTTCACAGGTTAGTACCTGGCACGTGAGAGAGAGAGAGAGAGAGAGAGAGAGAGAGATTCTTCTTCTTCCTCTTCTCAGTCCACCATCTCCCTCTCACCCTCTCGCTATCTGACTTCACTGCATCAGCAGACCACGAGAGAGAGAGAGAGAGAGAGAGAGAGAGAGAGAGAGAGGAGAGAGAGAGAGAGAGAGCTTGGTGACATTTGGATCCTGACTCGATGTTAGGCTTCAGACATTTTGACGAGCGATTATTTGGGACTTGTAACGAAGACTTGGTGTTGACGACTTTCCCATCTCCCCCCTCTTCTTCGTCTGTTCCCCTCCTGTTGCATACCGTATAGGTGCAGACCAGAACAAGAACCGACCTTTCAATACAAAGTATAAAATAGCACAGCGGAAGACTTAGATACCAGTGATCCGAACAATCAATATTGCAATGCAGCCCCAAACATACATCATCATCATCATTCCATGGTGTGAAGGGGTCTGGCGCTTCACACAGGAAGACTGCGCCAGTCCCAACCATACACAGACGAAGAAGATGGGATTTAGACGAAGAAGAGGGGAAGATGGGAAT